AGATGTAGTTTGTTTCTCAGAAATGACAGAATTGCAAGCAGTTTGTGAATTAGCCTGCTCAGGACTGAGGGATTGAGAAAACTTAGTAGTAATGAAAATGAGGGCCAGTCAAATCCTTTGGAATGTGCATGTAAAGTATCTCTTAATGGATCATTGGAATACTCATGCCTTCTTTCAGGCTGCATCCAATTTTGGTCACCACAGTATAAAAAAGATGTTGAGACTCTAGAAAGAGAGCAGAGCAACAAAGATGGTTGGGTGGAAGAAGGTTTTTAAAGGATAAAACATACAAAGAACAGTTGCAGGAATTGGAATCTAGTGAAAAGAAGAACTAGGGGTGACATGATAGCAGGGGGCTTCCGGAGCCCCCCCCCCCCCAAGCCCCTTTTGTCTCACCTTCCGTCTTTGCTGATTCTTCATACTGATCCATTCCTGGAATCAATCCTGGGGTTCATATTTGAGAGGCTGCCACAAAGAAACACAATCTGTTTTTCAAAGCACCAGAAAGCAAGACAAGAAGTGATCGGTGAACAAAGACAGAAGCAACCTAGAACTAAGAAATTTCTTGAGAATAAGAACAATCAATCAGTGGAACAGTTTGCCTTCAGAAATTGTGAGTGCTCCAACTTTGGAGGCTTTTAGGAAGAGACTAGACAGCCATTTGTCTAAAATAGTCCCCTGCTTGAGCTGGGGTTTGGATTGGAAAACCTCCAAGATCCCTTCCAACTCTGTTATTCTGTTAAGAGCAATTTGTAACTTCTTGCCAGTTTCCACATTGAGTTTCCTTGTGGGAATTTGGCAAGGAGAACCAGGAACCTTCCATTCCCTGTGTGCTCTCATCCACACATCAGAAGGTAAACGGCCATTGCTATGTGGGTTGAGAGCATGAGGGATTTTGAGACTGGATGTTGAAAATAAAGGTGATAAAATAAAGAAAATAAAATATGACCACAGTAGCAGTGGAGCAGCCAGTAGCACTGAAGCATCTACAATTTTGCCAAATTTCATTCCCTTGGGAGTCATGGGTTCCGGATTTTGGACACATTCTGTAAATTAGCCTATTGGACGTGCCTTGGTTTAAAAAGTGTTGCCCAACAATGGGCCATTTTGTCCAGTTAAAAGTTATGACAATGAGATGTTCATTTACAAGCAGTAAATGATGCATGTACATGATAAAATGGCCATCCAAAGCTTGAGTTTACCTTATATGTATTCACACTGTCTCAGATCAGGCTGGGCCTGCCTGCTTCCTTTATATGGGATCATTTCAAGAACTAAGCCAGCAATTTTCTGGCTCTATATTAATAAAACTACTGAATATCAGCTTTAAACTGGTTTCTGACAGGTTGCAGAATGGAAACAGATTCAAAACTTTGTTGTGTAAGAAACTCTGCCTTTCTGTAACAAAATGAAATGCAAAGTTCCAGAGAGGGCTTTTGTTTTGAATCACTGCTTCATTATTAGGCAAAAGTTACGGAGCATCAAGACACAATTGTCTCCCATCTGGAATCCTTCCATATTTTCCCACACCTTTTTTATTTACCAGAACAAAATGTATAATGGAGAAAAAGAGGGACTAGTCCCCGGGTGCCTTTGCATTGCTAATAATGAAATACTTCCATTTGAAATCATCTTCAGGGCTACAAATGAGAAGTTCCATTTTAATGGTTCTTTGCATAAAAGAATAAAATTTGTGTAAGACAGAAGTTAGATGTCAATCAGGCCAAACTTTTTCTCAAGGAGGTATTTTTCCCCCTTTGCATTTCTAACATGCAAGCACAGTTTTACATTAATTGTATTAACTTCCAGGAATTAAAAATGGGACTGTCGGTTCTGCTGTTGCAACATTCTATGTCTTAATTTCATGCATGCATCAACTGACTTTTTACCAACAGGTTATATCCTCACTGATATTGGGAAAGCAACTTCCCAAATTCCAAACTGGTATTGCTAAACACATCCTGCATTGCTATATTTTATGGTGATTCTTGGACCTAAGACTTCTCAACCCCATTTCCCTAAGATTATGCAACCAAGGCAGAGAAATTGGGAAGGGGGGAATAATAGGTATTGTCTAATTGTGCCTTCTGGATGTTTTAGACTTCATGTTAGTCCTATGTAGCACAGACAATGAGGAAATATGGCAGTTGCAGCCCAGAAGTCTCCGGAGGACACAAGGTTTCTGTAGAGGCAGACTTTCTGCCACATTTTTGAAATGTTACTATTGGCCATGAAGAAAAACATTGGATCATGTTTCTTGGAGGGCAGGAGTTGAATTTGTTTTCTATGTATTACAGTTTGATTCCCATAAACCCCAACCAGCATGATCAAAAGGGAGGGATGGCATAATTTGTTGTGTAGTACAGTATACTTTGTACTGCACATGTATGGAAGGAACATTCTTCTGAGATAAACCTACTCTTACGCTTGAGAAATATTGGGAATGGGAAGATCAGAAAGAAATGTAGTGTAGGAAGTAGGGAGAACACAAAGCCAAAAAGTATGCTAAATAATAGAGAAAACCAAAGAACACCTGAAATAAATCTATATGTTGATTATAGAAGGGCCTTTGAAGAACAAACCAAGCTTTAAAATGTCTCAGGAAGAATGGAAATCCTACAACATCTTATTGTCCTGATACAAAACATATATACAGGATAGGAAGTTACAACCCAGACCAAACCTAGCCAAAGAGACTGGCTCCAGACTTCTAGTGAGACGAGGCTCTATAATCTCACTTTATTTATTTAACAGAATATACAGTATATTGAAACAGGCTGGATTGGAATAAAATGGAAGAAAATTATAGGAAGAAAATTGCTGGAAAATTGCTGACAGTACCCTGAAATTGTAAATGATCTATATCCTCTAGTAATGAAAGTCAAAAGGTACCATGAAAAAAAAAAAATATAAAGAAAACCAAACTAATGACGACAGATTCAGCAGTCAATCTAGAATTGACAATGAAGATACTGAAGTGGTGGATATTGCCTGCCTTTTTGGTTTACTCAATTAGTGTTGATGGACTCACCTTTGGAAATCTTGAAGAAAACCAGTTAGATACAGATCATTTGACAGAAGGCCTATCTATATGAACTTAATGGCAAATAGTCAACAATCTTGCTGCATGACCACTTTTGTTTCAGCACATGGGCAAGATTGCCTTTATATTCTGCTTCTTCAAGGATGGTAAATTATCCAGGTCCCATGTAGGCAAGTGTTCTCAAATCATCATACCTCTATCTCCATGCTTGATATTTGGAATGAGGTTCTTATTGTGAATATTGGTTTTGGCAAACATAGCATCAATGTACTCTCACAAGTTCTACTTTTGATTGACCTCCCCATAGACCATTGTTCCAGATATCTGGAAGCTCATCCAAGTGCTTAATGGCAAGTCTGAGATGAGCATCAATATTTTTGGTGAACCATTGTTTCTATCTTGCTACTTTTCTATGAATTTTAACCCAGTACTTTTCTAATAGTGAAGCTATGGCAAGACAGGCTTAGACGTTCTGAGATTCTCCATCAGGATCCTCTTTACCTTCTTCCTGGATGCTTTTTTAAAAAATGATTTCCTAGTTTATCCCAAAATTTTTGGAGCCTTTCTGCAAAGCCTTTGATGACTGAACAATGCAGGGCATTAATTATGAAGTTCTTGTTCCTGATAAGTCAGGGGAGATGGCTGGATTACAAATGGTGGGTTATTGGATATTTATTGAAGTATTGATTTGGCAATTATATTGTTACATGTTGTTATGTTTACTGGATGAGAACTAAGCCCCTTAGAACCGTTATGACTGAAACAGTATCCAAATCTTGTTGTTAGTTGTGAAGTCGTGTCTGACCCATCGCGGCCCCATGGACAATGTTCCTCCAGGCCTTCCTGTCCTCTACCATCTTCTGGAGTCCATTTAAGCTCACATGTACTGCTTCAGTGACTCCATCCAGCCACCTCATTCTCTGTCATCCCCTTCTTCAATTGCCCTCAATCTTCCCCAGCATTAGGCTCTTCTCCAGTGAGTCCTTCCTTCTCATTAGGTGGCCAAAGTATTTGAGTTTCATCTTCAGAATCTGGCCTTCTAAGGAGCGAGCAGTCAGGATTGATCTCCTTTAGGAATGACCGATTTGATCACCTTGCAGTCTCGCAGGAGTCTTCTCCAGCACCATAGTTCAAAGGCCTCAATTCTTTGGCAAATCTTACAAATTACAAATCTTAGTAATAAATACAGGTACAGTGCTGGGATTTATTGGTGGTTTCCTATCTGAATATAATCAATCCCAACTCTGATTAGATTATTCACTCATTCAGCAAGGTTATCTCAATGCTATCCCTTATGATTTAGCTTCGAAACGAATGGTTTGGGATTTGCAAACTAAAAAATAAATAAATCAGTGCGTGGGAACGGAATTGTTCAAAGAAACATCTTGGGCTGTACATTAAGCTTTCTCCAGGGATGATTTGAATGTTTGATGGTAAGGAGAGCCGAGGAGAGCAGGTTAAAAGCTCTCTGAGAGGGTAGGTTGTTGAAGAGAAGCTACGTTTCCTTTGAAAGCCCCAGGAAGCTCACCGAAAGGAAGGCGGGAGAGGGATTTAGCAAGGAGGAATGAAGTCCACGGAGTCCGCAGTCTTGAAAGGCCACTCTAAATTCCTGGACCAGAGCCGCCGCAGCCGTAAGAGCAGAGTGGCGAAGAGGGAGGGAATAAAACCGGCAAGAAACGCAGCCGGGGAGGTGTCATCCTCGGCGGGGAACGAGGAAAAGCACCATTGCCTGAGGCGACCAGCCAACGGCCCTCGCCTACTTCGCACACCCTGCTCGGTGGGCTCCGAGATGAGGGGGAGATGAGGGGACGACGCGAGCCGGCGTGAGAGTCCACGTTACCTGCGCGACGCCGCCCAGCCCCCAGCCCGGGTTTCGGCAGGCAGAGGCGCGCTCTCCTTCCAGCGCGGAGAGGCTGGGTGTGGGCCGGGCGAGGCGAAAGCTGCGACGAGTCGAGCCTGCTTTGCGCTCCTCCCCCGCCGACACGGCTCCTCGCACGACTGCCGCGGTCATGACCGATAACATCCCCTTGCAGCCGGTCAGGCAGAAGAAGCGAATGGACAACAAGCACCGCGGCGGGTAAGTTCGGCGCCGGTCCTCCTTCTCCTCCTCTCTCCGAGGGTCTCGGTAAGGCGAGGGCTCGGCCTCCCCGTCCCCATTCAAGCCTCGCTTTTTCCGCGCCGAGACGGCGAGCTTCAGCCATAGCTGCGAGCGCGCCGCCCCGGCTTTGGTTCCCGGCCCCCAACAGAGGGGCAGCCTCGGCTCCTTCACTCCTACCCGTGGCTGCTACTTCTGCGGCTGCTTTAGTGGGAAATGCCGCTGGGTCTGTGCCGGCCCTGCCGTTTCGGCTGCAGAAACGGCGACTCCCGAGCTTCCGAACCGGCCAAAACCCTCAGATAGCGACTGAGGGTATTTCCGTGGCCGGATTCCCTAAATGCTGTACGGTGCAGCGCCTTCCCCTCGCCCGAGGCGGGTTCCGTGGATCGTTTTCCCCACCTTTCCTCCACCCCCACCCCCGCCAACCCGCTTGTTGTAAACACCCGTTTCGATACTGCCTCAGTAACCATCGCGTTTCCTTCGCGTTGGGAAAAGCCCGGTGGGCTTAGCAGGAGAAATCAACCGGGGAAAGGGTTGTGAGGGATCTGGGCCGGAACGGGCGGCGGGAGGAAGGGTGGGCAGCAGGAACTGACAGGTTGATTCTGACGCCATTTGTAGGTGGCACGCCCAGGCAGAGGCTGCCATTCCAGTCTCAAGAACCTGGATGAGGAAGGGAAGGGAGAGAAGGACACGGCTCTAGCCGGCAGTGGCCTTCTCTCGAGCCAAGTTGGAAAGGGGGGGGGGAAGCATTTCTTTGTAGATAGTGTCTCTACAACCAGGACAAAACAATAGGGACCTACACCAAATATGAATTTGGGAGGGGCTCCACCCCTTTTCTTTATTAGGCAGCTCAGCATGTGAACTTTGGGCTGGTTCTCTTTAATCACAGGTATAAGTCTAGTGCATCTTCTGGAATAATCCTGCCAGAGGTATCTGCATGAACGCTAAACTTGTTCCATCTTAGCAATTAAAATGCTTTCCAGCCCCTCCCAGAAATGACTTCCTTAATGGCTGACTCTGTTACTGTATAACATTATACCTGTCGGTCTAGAGTTGTTGTTTTTTAACCTGGGCTACTGGATATTTTGTGCCTTTAAAATTCCTTTTGAAGCTGTCAAATGAAATAGCATATTCCTTTCTTAGTGGGTTTCTCTGATTTCTTTGTGTAGCAGGCCTGAATTTCAAATCATCATAGCGTTGGGCTTCAAGAATAATTTATACTTCCTAGGAGACGCCTCTTTTGTTTCCAAGTCGAATGTGTACCATTTGTTGTCAGGCGCATTTTATAAGCCCATATTTGCATCACGAGGAAAAGAGAGACATAGAGAGTGAAATGTAAAACAGAAGAATGTTGAATGCTGCCTACAAATTCAATCTATAAATGTTAGAACACCAGGTTTCATATGCAGAAAAATGTCTGTTTCATTCATTAATTATTCTGCTTCTCGTGGGGGAAAAAGTACTTAAAGCCAAGTTACTACTTCTTGCATGGAATTAAAAGATACAAATCATTCACAGTAAACAGGTGTGTCATATATGTTCAAATATGGAGGACTGTGTTAAATAAGTGCACTATGTACTTTGATTTATAAGATGAATGTTTATGAGATGAAAGTTCTAAGCTGTTCAGTTTTTGCACATAAAAGTCATCAACAAGATTTAGTCCAAAAAAGCAAAGGGCAAATCTGTGCAAAAGGTGTAAGCTCCCCTTCAAGTCAAGCTCAACTGATAGTGGGTATTTTATCATCTGTCAGTGTTTTTCTTGGCTGGCTTACAAAAGTAGTTTGGCATTTCCTATTGCCAGTATGTATAAATGAGGTAGAAATGGAAAAAGATGTGGCTGCTTGGTTTGTGCTTCACTGTGCTCTAATACTTTTTTGAAATAAAGTTCAAAGCATTGTACAATTAGAAATTAAGGCATCCCTGTTTTATTAGTTTTTGGAGAGGCATGAATAAACTTTATATATATATTCTTAAAACCTTCCCTGCCTCACTTCAAATAATCACTATTGAAATGAGGGGTGAGAAATGAAGGGTGGCCTATACAAGAAATACAGAATGTAATTTAATTGAAAGAATCATTGTGGGAGAAATGATTACTCTCTCTATTCAGAAATGCAAGAGCCATTTCTTAAATATATACTGCACATACCAGTATATATACTATAAGTACTTTGATCTAAAAGAGGTAAGAAACACCACTGAATCTAGTAGTGTGGTTGGACTCCAATTCTTCTTGCTTCAGTTCTCATAGCCAATGATAAGGAGTGATTTGAGCAATGTCTGGAGGATCATCCATTCTTTATATAAAAATGGTTAGCAGATTAGATCACAGGTATCACTGATCATCAAGTTAAGTGAGGTAACATTTCAAATAGCAAGTACTATGGAGGGAACAATAGCTACATCCTTTTGGCTAATACTCCTAAATTGCCCTGAGCTTTCATGCTTTATTATAGTGTTTCTCACTCTTTGCAACTACCTTTCTGTGACTATGGAGATTCTCAGTCATCCAGGTCATGATTGTCCCAAAGGTGCTTTTTCAAGAGGCAACTGGACTTTCTGGTTTTTCTTTGAAGTAGTTTCTCTTCAGAGCTGAAGAAGCTTCTTGGATGAGAAGCAAAACTTCTTCAGAGAAAAACCAGAAAGTCCAGTTGCCTCTTGAAAAATTATGTTGAGAAAATACTGTTATTATATGATTACCACTAATGAACATTATGATGATGATGACTATTGCTCAAATTAACTGCAACCAGACAACACACTGTTTATATAGACATTGAAACTGTTGCTCTTTCTTTACATAGTAAAAATAAAATAAAAAATTTAAAAAAAGAAAAGAAAAGAAAAAGCACCTTTAGAACTGTCTTTGTGTGGTTTTTCAATTCCCAGAATTCTTAGCATTGGCCATATCTGTTGGGGAATTCTGGGAACTGAAGTTTATACAACTGAAAATTACAAGGGTAGGAAATACTGCTCTACTGGATATTGATTAATTATGTGCCATTAGATCAGTTTTGAATCTTTGCAACCACTAGATATACTTTCTCCATCATGATCTGTCCCTAACCTGGTCCTTCCAATAATGAACCCATCACCACTGCAACTGAATCCATCCCTTTTGTTTGCTGGTCATCCTCTTCTCTTTCGTTCCACCTTCCCAGCATCAGAGTCTTCTCCAGAGCGCTAGATTTTGCATAATTGTCTAGCATAATTTGAGCCTAGTCATTCATGACTTGACTAAACTCTGATTTGTTTGATGATACATTTGTTTGTTTTCTTGCCTGACCACAATATTCCAGTTCTACTGGAAAACTAAGTTCAACATACCATGCAACATCCCCTGTGTCCATGACCATCTCTACTTGTTGAAGCATTTCTTTCTCATAGATGCTGTGGAGTAGCCAGTATTGAAATGATCATCTATGGTAAAAGAACTCTACCTTAAGAGTTGAATGGGGTAAATGGGAGTTAGATTGAATGGGAGTCAATGACACCTTGTTGTCTTTTGATCCAAGATACAAAGTTTCTTGGTTTTTTCCTTCAAAGGCTGACTCATAAACCATCACAGCAGCACATACTGCAGCTTCCTGGGATACCTAAAAGACTAAAGAGCACATTGAAGCATAGCAAACATATTACAGATAATAGCTGATCATAAGGATGGATATTTTGTTAGGGATAATATCAAGCGTTAGAAAATAACATAGCTGAGTGAAGTGGATTCATCTGGTGATTCTGTTGACATGAATAGCAGACCTCAAGTAGGCCAATTAGCACTCCATTGTTGCAGTTCTTCTCTTTCTGAGGATTATACAACTTCCACTGAAGTTTTCACTAACTCAGTTGTGTATCTTGCCTTGTTAGTAATGCTTGCAGTACTTATATCGATGTAAGCTTAGCTCCAAAGCTAAGGTTAGTTATAGGCTGGAGAGTCTGGTTGTTCCAGCTGGGTTACAGAAGTGACCTTTCCTATAACCATCAAGAGCTGTTGAAAGCACAGAATTGTGATGCTACATTAATGTAGTGTTATTTTTTTTCTCAACTGTCTACCTTTCCAGCTTCTTGGTTTTTTTTTTTTTTTGTATTAGCTAGTTGGATTTCAGAAGACCAGCTTAATTTATTTCCAGTAAAGATGTAAGCATCATTAGTTTGATAACATTTTAGTGAACTGAAAAAGCGTCAAAGTCAACAAGCAAGCCAGATATTATTTCTAAGGAAAAGGAATTTTTAAAGGTTACTTAAATTACAAAGGACACATATTCCTTCAGAGAAGTTACTTCCACCTGTGTTTGAAGGATAGGAAAGGCTTCTTATAAGACAAAACCTGTAGTATCTATAACCCATAAATACATAATTCCAAATTCCCGGTTATGGCTTGATCGTTCTTCCTCCTTGTTCCATCAAGCAGTCTCAAAAGTATTGATCCAATCTAAAATGTTGGTCTGAGTCCGGATTTCCTAATGTGTTTTCTAATATATTTATTTATTATAAATTGCTAAATATTTCTCATTTGTAGAACTGAGAAAAACCAGGAAAATGTATCCTTTTCATTTTTTAAAAAATAGCAGTTACACTACCACTACTTACCAAGTTTTGATGCTATCAGTTCAGGTTGATATGCTAATTGCCCTATTTATGGTAACTTTTTTAAAAAATACGGTTTATCACACAGTCAGCCAGATTTCCAAACTGGATTTGGCATTTTTTATCTGCCTATGAGACCTAAACTAGGCAGATGTAGATGTTTAATGGTGTTGCAGATATTTAACATCATTTCTGTTGCAGGGTGTAAGGTAAAGCTGCCCTATATCACCTTATACATGTGATATTGGGCTGCTTTAGAAGATAGGACTGAACCCTAACTAGTCCCTGATTGGACAATGAGAGTAGTCTGACCCAGCTCAAAATGATGGTATTTAAAGTCTTAAAGGGTTGAGATCAGATTACTTGAAGGATTATTTCCTGCCTAGACTTCAAGA